ATGCCACAAATATATCTTGTAATGATATGTATATTTGCTAAAAGAAAAAATATGTTTTTGGATAAATCCAAAGCATAGAAGTTGGATTTTAAAATCAGCTTGAGAGAATTATGACAAATAGTTGTATGTAAAATGTTAATTTCTGAGAAAGAAATACATTTTTAAATTTTTTTTAATAATTTTCAAAATTGATTTTTATTCATTTAAATCTAAAGAAGTTGTAGGTTATATTTTTTAAACTTTTAACAGATGTTAAATTCAAATATGCATGTTTTTGAGTAATTTCAAGAAATGTGGGAAAAGCTTTGTTTACCATATAAAGTTGTTGGCCAGATGCCAAATGAATTTAGTGAAAATTATCACAATATGATTAAATAAATAGTTTCATGCATTTTGTTTTGTGGATAATGGTTAACCGTATCTTGAAAAAAAAAGATGAAAAAAATCATTAGATAATTGATCTCAACTAATTTTAAGAGATTATGTTCATTATGAATGACAACCTAGGATCTTTATATTAAATGTGTGTCATTAGATAAAAATTTTATATCATCAAGAGGAATATGTGAAAACCTATGAACTAAGATGAGGTTTGGCGGTAACTTTACCTAAATGATTGGAGATCCCAAGAAATAGGTTCAAAGAGACAGCTAAGTCAACTTAAATCTACTCAAAGTACTGTAAGACTCCGGTCTATACCCAGTTTCTAGGATGATTAAACAATGCTACATGTAAGGATTACAGGATAAGCATTTGCTTTTAATGATTTGTGTCCATTGTTTTAAGATATGAATGAAGTAGTACATGATACTCCGCTAAATAAAGTTAATGAAAATTCACCTTGTGAGTGTGAAATGAGGCCTTTTCTAGGAGAAAGAAATGCTATATTCTCTAAATTCACTCATGATTAACCAGGCATACTCAAAGCCAAAATGAAAACAATTGAGAACGTAGTTCTGTGAGGGAGTGAAACTGTGTTTTAGCTATTGTCTAGGTTTACATCAAAGTCTGGGTGGTTGAAGACATCATGTTTACTACCTTGCCGAGTAAATACGATAGCTATTAACAATGATTGGTTCAAGGCTGAAAAATTGCTACCAAATCATCATACAATGGATTTTTCGCTTGTACTCTGAAAAGTCCTTAGTTAGGTCTTGTCTAGTTGAGTCTTGCTAGGATGTCAAGACTGTCAACTCGTCTAGTGTCTACAATCATTTCTATTCATGTATGAGATTGTTTGAACTATTTTTTGGATATTATGAATAGTGTAATCATATGTCAAAAATGAGTTTTATTTGAATGATATATAGAGGTCCAGTGTGTGTGATTTGAGAAACTTATACAAAGTAACAAATACACACATTAGATATTTGATTGGATTTGGATTTTGATTTGTTAGTTGGACTTTAAGTCCATTAACTTATTCTTATAAACCAACTATATGTTGATATTTTATATTGATAAAGTATAAAAAAGAAATCCATTTTGAAGTATATTATTTGTTTGAATTAGTCAAATAATAATATGTTTACTCTTTGATTTCTTGGTAAAAATGTGTAATAAATTCACATAAAAATGACATGATTTATAGTCTACATTAGTGCAAAATGGAGGTTTCATTTTTCTATGTTGAAAATGAAACTTGTCTTCTCATTATTTTTCTATATGAATGGCTTGTTAGCATGATAGGAAAACACACACAACAATATCAAAAGAATAGTCACATTCCCTTATATGAACACTTTAGAGTTTTTATTTTTTGTTTTATTTTGAGTCTGAGAGTACAACACAAAATCATGGTCCTACAGTCTTAATTCTTTAATTTTCGTTATTAAACTAACGGAAACCGATTATTTTTTGAGTTTTGATAAGAATAGTTTGAAAAGGTGCCAGAATAAGATCTCTTTGGATTATTTCGAAATAAATTTTCTGTGACTTGGATCAATCGATTATTAGTTTTAGTCGCATTCTAACTTGCAGGGATCTGTGCAATTATCATTTATGTTCATTGTTTGATGATGAGTTTAATTCATTTCTGAGCATTCGTTTCATATCTGGAGCTTAACCTTCGGTGTATTTGCATGGTTTATTGAGTATTTTTATTGATATTATTAAATTTTAGAATTTAATACAATTAAAATATATATATATATATATATATATGTGTGTGTGTTTAATATAATTAAAGTGTAAACGTTTTTTTTTCTATTGGCATATGGTCTTAATTGTGACTTGGACTGGTTTAGTGCTTTTCCGTTAAGCCTTTGACCTTTGTTTTAATTACAAAGAATGCATAACAGTTTTGACTTTAGAATTTTCGTTTCGTTGTCTTAAATTTTGTTATTAAATAGACAATAAAACGTTTCGCTATATTTGTCAAAATGTGTTATTGCTTTGACTTGGTATTTACTCTAATTATCACAAAATGTTTGGAATGTTTTTATTTATGGAGTCAGATTTGTGGAATAACTTACTTTAATTATTAAGGAAAATTGGAAAAAAGAGACATTTTGAACTAAAATTTGGCCAAATAGGATTAGTAGAGCATTTTTTTAGTCAAATAGGATTTTCAACTTCTTTAATACCATAATACCCCTAAAATTTATAAATCTTAAAAATAGATTTATATATATGTATTTTCGTAAATGATTTAATAACAGAAAAGGAAAATTAAAAAAAAAAGTTAAAGTTACAAACGCTTTTAAATCATTTTCCCAAAAACCACTCGTATCTCTTTTATTCTCTTCTCTCCCGAACCTTCGTCAAAGCCTTCAATGGCGATTTAGGGTTAATCTTCGAAACTTCTCTCCTCCGTTGGTCCTCGTCGGAGATTTCGTCGGAGATAGAGCCTTAGTCGAAGCCTTCTCTCTTTCTCTTCATCTTCCTCTTTCTTCTTCTTTCAATCGAACACAAGAACCTCTTTCACCGGAGTCTAAAATCGAAGTCTTCTTCCTTCAATTCCAGCAGCTCGGTGACGTATAAACATCAAAGTAAGTGATTCGAGTTCTAACCCTAGATTATCCTAAAAATCCTATTTTTCATCTTTCTTAAACCTAAAGTTTGGTTTTGGGTTTCTTAATCATCTAATTAACAACATCGACCATTGCATGTTATCGATTTGATTTTTATGTTTATTAGTATCGATTTAGTTTTTGTTTGAATGGGTTCGAGTTCTAACCCTAGATTGTCCTAAAAACCCAATTTTTCAACTTTCTTAAACCTAAATTAGTTGTTTGGGTTCCTTAATCATTTGATTAACAAAATCGAGCATTGCATGTTATTGAATTGATTTTTATGTTTATGAGGATCGATTGAGAATTTGTTTGAATGGGTTAGAGCTCGGGTCTAACCATACTTTACTAGTTGGTGTCGGTAAGTTTTGTGTAGGGATTAAGATGTAGCTTGTGAATTGTGAGATATCGATTTTGTTGTTTACTATTTGAAATGGGTACTTATAAAATAAAGATAAAATTGGAACGTGAGGAGTCTAAAATCGAAGTCTATGTTATTTCTTTGTTTGTGTTCTCATAAGTTTGATTTCTATTTGCTTGATTTTGTTGTGGTGTGAAATCATAACAACATAAGTTTATGTTATTTCTTTGTTTGTGTTCTCATCATAGGCTTTTGTCTTCACTTGCAGGTATGTCAGTGGAGTTACCAAAGCGGCTTTTTAAGGAGGGTGAGGAGACCCAAGTGACTCAGATTAATAACAACTACAGGTTGGAGTAAATCATGAGAATGCTGAAGGAGTGGCTGCCAAAGGAGTTTGAGGTCGTGAAGAAAGATCCGGTTTTCGCTCAGATTTTCAAGCTGCACGACAATGGTTTGGGGTACTTCGCGAGAGTGATACACAGCTTCTTGTGTAGGGAGCTGCTGACCTACCGAATGAAGGAGCTTTGGTTTACTTTTGCGAGGAGGCCACTCAGATTCTCACTGATAGCGTTCCACGCAATAACGGGACTTGAGTGCAAAACTAGTATCTCAATGAAGGAGTTTGATGACTACAAAGATGATGGTGGTTTCTGGAGCAAAGTGCTGAAGAAAAAAGAGGGAATTAGTATGTTGAAGTTGTGGAAGCAGCACAAGGAATCTGTGAAGAAGTGGCGTAATGCAGATCGCATTAGGCTGGTGTATTTATGCATCATTGTTTATGTGGTTTGTGCGAGAGGTGAGAAGGCAAATATCCCTCTGAAATACATCAAAGTGGTCATGGATCTCGAGAAGCTTCGTAGGTATCCTTGGGGAGTTGCTGCATTTGATCTTCTCTGTGAATCAGTAGCCAAGACGCGTGATAAACTGAAGACGAAGACCTCAAATTATGTGTTAGATGGCTTCTCCTACGCCTTGCAGATTTGGGCAATGGAAGCAGTGCCAAAGATTGGAAAGCTTTGTGGAAAAAAACTTGACAAAAGTTTTCGTGATGGTCCTAGATGCATTAACTGGATGGGAGCTGCAAAAGTCTCATACGACGAGATCATTCAGTTGGAGAATATCTTTACAGCAAAGGTTAGTATTTAATATCTTTACAAATTGAATTCATAGGTTTTAAAATAGTTATAAGTATCTAACTTTGTCAACCTTTCTTTTGTAGGATGTCGTTTATCCATACATCTCTTGGGGAGGGGATTATGTTGTGGTTGAACAAGCTGAATTTGTAAGAGCAGATGAGGTAGAGGATGATAGAATCAATGATCTGAAGCGGATGATAATGAATAACCACGACTTCAGTAGTCATATTTGGGAGTTCGAAGAAGACACAACAGAGCTTTCTTTAAAGCTAGATGACAAAGAAGGAGAGGATGATGAAGTTACTCAGTCTGAAAAAGGAACAGAGAATGCTGAAGAAGCTGAGACTGATGAGGACTTTCAAACTCCAAAACAGTCAAGAGACAGTGACTCTTCGGCTAGAAAAGGGAAGAAGAGGCCCGGATCGTGGTATGGAAAAAAGGAAGCATAAGGTACTCTCTGATAGACCACAGCAAGCGCCCCTTGGTGAAGATATGAAGAGTTGGATGGCACAGTTATTTCAGCAAAATATTGAAGCAATGGAAGATAGGCTTCAGAAACAGATGGCTGAGAGATTTGAGAAGATGCAGTCTGAGCTGAAAGGGTCACTTAAGGTTGGAGGAGGCCAACTTGATCATGGAGTGGCATCCCCGAGGAAGTCATCCCCAAGCAAGCCATCGGCAAGCAAGGCGACCACAAGCATGCCATCACCTAGCATGCAATCACCTAGCAAGCCAACTCTGAGGAGATCCGAGCGCGTGGTAAAGAAACACTAGTCTTACCACTCTAAAATGTTTATTTTGCTTGTTTAATGTATGATTTTCCAACTTCGTTTGTGCTAGTGTCAATTATGTATTGTCATGAACAATCTTGTGTTTGATATTGTCTTCTTTTGAGTTTCTTTGTGAGTGTGCTTTGTTTGTAAGTTTGTGAACTTATAAAATATCTAATAGATGCTTTTGTGTTTATGGTTGTGAACATATAACTTATTTAATTGATCATTTTGTATTTTGAATGACCAGGATGGCAGTTTCAGTGAGGGAGTAGATATGGACTTCGATGTAGAGATAGGTACCCAAGGCGTAGAAGGGCTTTCTCAGGCATCATTTGTGCCCGGATTTGATCCATCGCAGACCAATAGGGAAGACGTGACACGTGATTTTTGGACTCCATTGACCTCACTTCGACCTCCAGTAACTGTGGCAAAGGAAGGTAGTTCAGCTCCACCGCCTAGAAGGTGGGAGAAGTGGTACAAAGGAGGAGTTAAAACACTCCAGCTCAGTGATTCACCACTTCCTGAAGATGCTTCTCCGGAGTCCCCGTTGTATTATGTTGCAGAAGACACATGGACCAGATTCAGTGAATGGTCTATGAGTCCAAAAACTTTACATATTGGTTTTACAGCCTTCAACATGACCATAGCTACATGGATTATTGCAGCTGGAAAATGGCTTGGAAATGAGGTATTAATTGTTGTTTTGTTGAGTGGTGTAATAGGATTTTGAAGATGTATTTGATTGATGTTCTTGTGTTGGTTTCAGGAAATGGATGCGTTTATGTATATGTGGCGAGAGAAGACATCTCTGCGGCGTTGGAACGTAGACCGCATTGCTTTCATGACAGCTACGTTCTGCCTGCAAATCGACACAGCATATCACAAGTTTACTCGTAACAAAAAGAAGTATCAGTTGCCCGAGTTTCTTCTTGCTTACGGTAGAGGAGAGCTTCCAGCTTATGGGCGGACTAACAAAACTTGGGGTGTTGATGTTGATAAACTGTACTTCCCATTGTTTGTGAATGGTAAACACTTCATCCTCGTCATGTATTTATTTCTGCCTCTCATTTTTAACAACTTTATCAATGTCTTGTGTAGGTAACCATTGGATTGCAGTGTGCGTGAACATCATTGAGAAAAGAGTGGATGTTTATGATTGCTTTCAAGGGAAGAATAGGCAACACGTTGAGAAGTTTGCTGTGATGATTCCACGCATAGTGAAAGGTGTTGCTCTTCCTGAAGAGAAGAAGCACCTTCTGCTGGAAAAATACACCATCCACGACATTCCTTTGAAGTCTAGGTTGAACAAGTCTTGTGCGGATTGTGGGGAGTATGCACTCAAACACTTGGAATGCCTCTTGCTTGGTCTAGATCTCGGTTTGGTTGATGATGAAATCATCATGGGTTGTCGACAGAAGATTGTTGTGGATATATGAGAGGCTACTCAAGATCCCATTTTAATTCAGCTTATGCTGCAGCATGTGCCTTCAGAATTTGAGACTTCTGAAGTCTATGACATTGAAGACGATTGATTATGAGTATGCTCCTATGTGTTTGGTTTGCTAGGATTTTTGTATTTTTAGAACAAGTGTTGTTTGGTTTTCTAGGATAATCTCAAGGTTCATTTGGTTTGAGACTTTGGATGATTTATGTAACCAATGTTGTTTGGTTATCGAGGAATTGAAAGTTATTTTGAACATTTTTTTGAACCTAAGTAACTCTAATCTAACCCTATTTAAACCCTAAACCCTAAGGAAACCCCAAACCTACTCTAAGTAAATTTACGTATGTTTGGGGTTTAATTACTCTAATTTAACCATATTTAAACCCTAAACCCTAAGGAAACCCCAAACCTACTCTAAGTATATTTATGTATGTTTGGGGTTTAATTACTCTAATTTAACCCTATTTAAACCCTAAACCCTAAGGAAACCCCAAACCTACTCTAAGTATGTTTATGTATGTTTGGGGTTTAATTACTCTAATTTAACCCTATTTAAACCCTAAACCTAAGGAAACCCCAAACCTACTCTAAGTATGTTTATGTATGTTTGGGGTTTAATTACTCTAATTTAACCTTATTTAAACCCTAAACCCTAAGGAAACCCCAAAAATACATAAAGGACCCTACTATATACTATACCATTTTGAAAGTATTTTGTAAACTATACAGATTTATGCTAGTCTTCTATGTATTCACTCTAATACATAGGATTTCCCTTCAAAATGCTCAACTTTAGTAGTATAACGAAGTTATTCAAGTCTAATTAAATCGTTGATCTGCCTTAGGTAGAATACGTGTTCTAACTTTACGAGAACGACGTCGTATTGTTATTTTTTTTAGACCTAATCCCATCTTCTTCCTCATTCTTTCACGACAAGAGAGATCATACGGCGAAGAGTTGGAGATCGACACAGTCATGTCTTCGTGTTTATCGTCGTCCAACTCAAGAGATCGAATCACCAAACAACGTGGAATCCCAACAAAATGTAATTGCGGTGAGCAAGTGGATCTCTTGACATCGAAAACTCTCAAAAATCCCGGGAGATTATTTCATCGTTGTCCGTTGGGATCCGACGAGGTATCCTTGTATAATCAGTTTTCAATTACAGAATGTTTTCTAACAGCTTGTTCGATGTGATACATGAAGGACAAAACACACTTGTTCAAATGGACTGATAAGTCGGTTGTTGAAGAAATTGAAGATTTCCAGGATGTATTTGACGTTCTGCTCGCTGACAATTACCTGTTTCAGAGTTCACTTACAACTTGTGAATCATTGCTGAAACGCCATGTGAGTAAAATTGAAGAGCTTGAAGATGCAATTGCAAATTGTCAAGAGAAGGACATGGACTGCATTAGGCAATTTCGTGTCATAAAATCTATGTTTCTGTGCTCTTTGGTGATGGTTTTTATGTACCTCATCTATGCATGATGGTTCTCATGAATCTTTTCGATCTTTTGTTGCTTTGTTATTCAAATAAGACCATGTTTAAGCATTCAAATAAGACTTTGTTTCAGTCAGAAAAGTGTTGCAAAGATCATATTGTCAAATACCAATGTCGAAAAACCAAATAACAAAGAACCAAATTCAAGTCTGAGCAAAAAAACAGAGAACAAAAAACGCAAAAGTGCAAACTAAATAGGTAAATCACATGTTCCTCTCTTATGTCCTTCGAGACCACACCTACTACACTTGTGCTTTTTATTCTTTTGCTGTGAAGCTTTAATCTTGTCTTCTGCTGATTCATACCGTCTCTTAACTGGCCTACCACCACCCTTTCTTGAATCTGGTGGTAAAACATTGACAAGTCTCACCTCATCTGGGACATTCCATTCAGACTCTGGAATGGAAATTGGATTAATGGATTCCGCATAGGCAGCTCTCCATGTTGCAGTGGTGTAAAGAGGATCAGTAAAGCTGTGTATCCAGCCCTATCTCCAAAAAATATAAACCGAGTCATGTCTACAATCTGCCAAATACCGAAACAAATATAGGTCTCAAAAGAATGTGTTTATACCTCGTGAATATATAGCAGGAATGGCATGTCTACAAGGAATTTTTCCTATATCATACTTCCCACATGTGCATGTTCTATTCTCCAAATCAACATAACAATCATATTGGTCTCCTTTAACAAGTGATCTGAAATCGTCAACCTTTTCAACACTAAATCCTCTTGCCTTCACAATCCTCCTATCAATCTTCTTCTCCACCTTTTCGGTTAAGGGGTCAAGATGTTTGCAGCTAAACATTCGACGCTCATAGAACCATCGGGTCAGCAACTCTCTTATGCTGTCTAGCAAAGGAATAACAGGAAATTCTCTAGGTGTTCTCAGCACTGAATTTATTGACTCAGCAGCGTTAGTGGTTCTAATGTCGTATCTCTCACCAGGGAAGACAGAACGAGCCCATTTCCTCACATCAGCCTCCTGTAGATATCTTCCGAGTGCAGGACTAATACCAAAAAGTTCAGTGAAGCGTTCTTGAAATTCACA